CTCCATGAACACATACTGCTGTTATGTAAAGTCTCTGGAAGGTCTCAGGACAAAGAGATGCTGCAGAGCTGCATTAAAGGCGCTATACCCGTTTCTGAAATGTTTGAATGTTTAGCACCGCCCCCCAACTCGCTCACAGGCTTCTCATTTCCCCTACGCTCTCATCCCACGGAGCCACCTAGTTTTATTTGCGATCTGATATGTATGCTAACATTAGCATTAGCGCAACTTGTAAGCTGTACAACGATCACTGATTAAATGGCACCAAAGCAATGCACTGCTAACACAATATATAAGTAAAAGAATGCCATTAGTTTCGCGTCCGAATGTATTAATTTAAACAATAGAATACATTCTAATATTTAATTATAATTTATTATACAGCTCCTCACAGCAGCAGCACTCCATTGACTTGAATGCAATTCTCCCGATAATTTTTTCTTGATAACATTGTAATTCAGGTGTGTAAAATACTGCCATTACTTTGCAAGTACAACAAGCTATCAGCGCTTGTCACTACATTGTGCAGTTTTTCTGCACACTTGTCTGTGTAGAGAAGCTAGCGGAGCTAGCCACGCTCAATAAACAAATACATATCAATCAATCAACGCCATTAAATCGTTAATCGGACAATACAGTATACATATACATCCTTAACACACATGCACGGACGATTTCAGAATTTGCTGTCAACGTTTTCATGACAAAAATACTGTTTTAAAGTGACAAAAAGCGATCGCGAAAAACCCGGAAGTTACCATGAAACAGCTAGCTAGCTTAGCTGTTACCTGCCTAGCACGTCCCGGTGAAACCTTTGGGAGCTAACTATTTTATTTGCAGTCATTAAATACATTTCGAATTGTAAGGGCTGTCTAATATTTGTTTAAAGGACAACTCACCCTCAAATCCACTTTTTTTTGCTGATAAACGGTATAAATGAGTGTCCAATAGTGTTGTCTACATATCCTGGTCATAATCTTGTCACTTTGGTGCAAATTAGTTGAAAGTTAGACATTCTGCCTAAAACCGTCTGTGAGGCGCCATCTGCTGGCGACCTGTATTACTACATTTGAATTTTGAATCTGGCGTCAACACTGGCGCGGCAGCAAGACCTGACGTCTGAAGCAAGACCTGACGCCAGCAGCACCCCGCCCAGAGCAATGTAAACGGCCCAGTCTCGTTCACGCCCCCTATAGTCCTCCAGGCTACGCCCATTTAGAGGAAGATTTGAACAGGAAATGTGAGTGACGTAAGCTCCGAGGAGCGGGGGTGAGAACCACTTTAAATATATATATAGTTTTAATTTTAGAATTATATTCGAATTTTGAAGTCGAAGCCCTGGTGTTTAGCAGCGCTGTAGGGGCTAGAGGACGCAGGCTGCTCGCTGCTTGTTCTGTGAGTGGAGGAGAACGAGCGGCCCGCTCAGACTCTACTCAGCACTTTTCACTGCTTGAATTTCATACACAGTGGAATCAATGACCTCCAGTTTTCAATTAAATTATATATTATGATACAACTTGTATGTAGTAAAAGGCATTTTTATGAACTACTTAGAAAAAAAATCAGGTATAGCTTCTTTAATGGCAAGAACTTTACACAAAAAGCCGCTAGCATCCGTTAGCATCCGTTAGCATCAAGCTAGCGTCTTTTTACTTCCGCCACTTCCGGCGGTGGTCTTTAAAAATAAAAGTGTATTTCTCTTTGAAAAGGTGTACCTGCATCATTATCATTGTATTAGATGAAAATTATATCAGAACAACAATACTATCGCCTATCGCAATAAATTCTGAGACAATTAATCGTCCAGCAAAATTTGTAATCGTGACAGGCCTAAGGACACCCCCAAGCTATTTGTTATCAAATAGATCATAATAGACAGTTTCAGTTGTATTAGTGAATCCACATTTAGACATTCACCCTCATGAGCTGGAGAACTTAGCAGCACTGTGCAAACCCTACTCCATTGTGTCGTTTGTGAAATACAAATTTGTACCAGTACTTCTGTCAGTGGCTATATTTCATTTCATTTATTTATTTATTTGATATGGACATAGCAATTAACATTGGACGAACCAGATGCATTGTTTAAACTGTTATAGCACAAGTGCTAATTTTCAACACCTGTCCATATTTTAACCCATTGAGGCCGGGAACGCATTCCTGCGTTTCTACCTATAAGGCAGGGAAAGCGGACATGTCTTTTTTTCTTTTTTTGACCTATTCTCCTCATTGATCAATTCTCTTGACCGATGAAATGCATCAAGATATACCAGTGAGTAAAATTATCTACGGATCCGCAAATTCAGACTTTTTCTCGCTGAAAATATTTCTGTGAAATGTGTGACCGCGGGCAGTTTGCGTTACGTACTCGAACTCAATCATCTGTTTTGACCCCGAGAGCAACTGTGGCCGCTTTGACAGCTCAGCGAACGCGCAGCTGTAACGTGGTCATGTACCGAGCGCAGATCATAGACGCGCGGACAGAACCATCCCAGCTTGTTGCACGTGCAAGTCTTGCCTGTCCCCCCCCCCCCCCCCTTATGTAATAAGTATTTCTCAATACTTATTGTATTGAGAAAGATGCGTTAGTCCCACATTATTTTTGGTTGTTTTATTACCTTTCCTGTGTGGAAGTTGTATGTTTTTGGATTCTTCTACTGAAAGTAGGGCTGGGCGATAAAACGATAACGATATATATTGCGATAGACACATGTTCGATATCAATAGAGAACGGGGTCGATAGAACTTTCGATAGTTTAACTTCACTCCGTTCGAAAAAACAGGAACGAAATACAGGAAGTAAAGCCGAGTCAGAAGCGCGCGGCATTCTGGGGGATGTAGGCAGAGACTTCTCGACCTATCACAGCCGACTACAAACCGCAAAACTTTCTGGGAATGAAAAAAAACAACCGCCATGGATCATGGATCTATTATAATAGCCCTGGATCTAAAGATCGTGTCTCAGTGCCGTGTCAATGGTTAAACACGTCCATGCGAGGAACAGCATGTGCGGTGCGGGAGAGGCAGAGACTCGATGCATTCGGCAAAAACAAGAGATTAACTTTCCGGAGCCGCCACGGGGACACAGGACACTCGAAAACAGGTGCTAAACCAGGACTAAACGAGGATTAAACCAGGACTAAAGTGGGGGAGACTGCTTGTGAACATTTGGCTCCAGCCTCATTCCCCCGTGACTGTAAACAAGGCTGCTAACATGTGTTAGCCGACACGACAAATGTATTTATTGACGTTTAAAAAAATAAATAAAAAACAATCAATATATATCGTTATCGACCGATATGAATTACTTATATTGTGATATAGTTTTCAGCCATATCGCCCAGCCCTAACTGAAAGTTTATAACAATACATTCCATTCTTATTGACAGCCACAAGTGTCAGCTCTCAAACTCTTTTGAAATTATGTTACTATCTGCAACAGAGGCTATGATATCAATCATTTAAGAGACATTGAATTTCAGGAAAACTTCAAGTTTTGTAGGGTTTTAAAGTCGGCCATAGGTTTTACAGGTCTGTCAGGCCTTAATGGGTTAACATGTTAGTTTTAGGGATGTAAATCGGCGACCGGTTAACCGGTGGTTGACCGTCACAGCGTTAACCGGTCAAAGCTGTCGGTTAAAAAAGAGAAAAAGGGGAGAGGGGAGGTCTCTTAATAACGCTATTTTAAGCCCTATTTGCACGGTGTGACGAGCGGGTCTGTATCTAGCTGTATGCGCCCATGTATTATAAACTCCGGGACGACTCTCACGCCGCACGAGCCACATATGCACACACGCACGCGCGCGCACACACACACACACACTTTCCCCCTCTCCATGCGTAACATCCACACGCATCATCTCTCCCCTCTTTTACCGTCAAAGTTGCACACTGGCGCGGGTCAGAACTACATTGGAGCTTACATTTACACACACACACATATACATACACACACACATACATACACACACACATACCGGTCTGTCGCGCTCCTCTGTGTCACGGAGCCCAAAGGATTCGCGCAAATACGCGGCTCCTTTTGGGAGTCGCGTATTTCCCCTACATGTTTTGCTGTAGGGGAAACATGTTTGTGTTTATGGTCCTCGGGATCAGCCCCACACACATCACTTGTATTTAAACTTTTGTGAAGACCTGTGAGACGCGGCTCGTCACTCGCTGCTCTGACCATGTGAACGAGCCGTGTTTGCTGCTAGAAAGTTTTGGTATTAACCCGCAGCTCAGCAGAATGGGAAGATTAAAAAAGCAGTTCTCTGTGCGCAAAGGTGCCGGAGCTGTTGCGGGTTTGGGCGCCGCTGTCTTGGCTCTGATCCAGTAGAACGCAGAGCTGCACTTATGAAAAGTACGCGGCTCGAAATGGCTGTTATTTCAAAGAACGTGGACTATTTTAAACTACGCGGTTAACCGGTTTCAACCGGTTAATGAGGCTCGGTGGTCGGTCATGAAAATTCATAGTTTTTTACATCCCTAGTTAGTTTGATAATGTTGTCAACCTAAATTGCAAGTAACACGAAACAAGGTTTTCAGAAATAGCACTTGAGAAACATATTCAATCAATGGAGACCCTCACCAAATAAACAACAATTATGGACCACACTTCGAAAGCTATATAATTTTATAACTGTGCAGACTGAAATTACAATGATAAACGTGTCATGGCAGGGACGGCGAATACAGTAGAATGAGATTACCCATTAGCTGTTCAACGCGGGCTCGCTGCATGCTGGAAAGGCTCAAGCGCATTGCAGTGTTAATCTACCTGGTAATGTTCATAAGCCCAAACGAGGCCAGGACACCCAGCACTATTGGATTAATCTAAAAGCTGCGCCTAACACCTAGGTTTGGGTAAAACCGATAGACCAAATTACTGAAACAGCAACAGGCTGATATTTAAATCAACGAAAGGACTAAATACACAACACACAACATTACATGTTGTGGAGTACTGACAAATGTGTGATGGTAGACAGAAGTGTTCATACCTGCAGCTTCCAATAAAGCTTCGAGCCGTGCTTGTGTCTCTGGATCAACAGTTCTCAAATCAACTCCATCTGTGGCACTAGACAAGAGCAACTCCGACGCCGTCTTCATGATGGGGTTGTCCAAGTCCTGGTCCAGAATGAAGGACTCCACCTTTAAGATGAAAAAGGCAATATTTAACAGTTCCAACTGTGGATTGGGATAGATTTTTAAAATCATTTGTTAAACTATTTATCAATATTTACATTTAATTCCCGTGACAAGATTGTTTTTTTGTAATTTGTTCAGCACAAAGGAAGCAAAGATCATTGGGATAAAGAACTGACCTCAAGACAGTGTAGTGCCCCTGCAAACATAGACAAATTCAGCTGAGAGTCAGCTGCCCCCATCACAGAGCATCATACCTGAACAACCGGTCTACATCACAGCCCAGTATTTTAACCAATATGTGACTAAACACTAGTTGCATAACTAAAAGAACAAACTATATACCATGGTCGATACAACATAATACCCCAATACAGTGCTTTTTAATGGTGCTATGTTTTACAACTGTTCTGAAAGAAGAAGTTGTAAATAATCTCACATTTTCTCCTGTTAATGCAATTATTCAGTTTTGATACTGGCAATATTTAAAGAAAGATGGCTTACTTGCATGCTTATTTACTCAAATGAGAAGTTTCAATTCTAGATCAGATTTTGACAACTCCATATTTGCAAGAAACAAGTAATTTTAACAAAGTCACAAACAATTAGTGTATGCGTTTGAACTAAAGCCCCGGTATACCTTTGTAGCAAAAAGATAAAGAAAAAGATGCAAGGTTGTGTGAGTGGGCTTGCATCCCCATAAACCTAATATTTCCCTCTTTGTTCACATCGAAAGTTTTATTTCGGCTACCCTCTTCCACAATATGGCATTAACTATGTATGTTTCATAGAATGGTTTTAACGTCTTACTACTGTGGAATAGGGTGATTTTCTATCTCTAGAAAGTCACATATTATTGTTAAACACATCAACATCCGTGTCTACCAACTATGGTATGATGACCAGCTATTTTAAAATTAACAATTCCAAGATGCACATTGCAAATCAAGTCAGAAATTAAAAACACATACTGAGCACACAGTTTAGACACCAACGTTTTGTCAGAAAGTTGATGTGCACAGTAGACAAGGAGCCCTGAAAGTTGAAGAAATATGAGGTGAAAAAAAACTAGGTAAACTTTGTTGTGATTAATTCCCTCATTTGAGACAGAAAAGATAAACCGCCAAGGTTGGGAGAAATGGTTATTCAGCAAATTTGAGAAATTCAACTATAGAAAAGCAATGCAAAGCACAACAACTCAAGGGCAATGAAGTTCTATGACAGCTTTTGTAATCAACAATGGACATCACTGTTCACTATTAATGAACTACAGTTCCCAGAGTGATGGTATCCACAGAGCTGTAAGGGCCTAGAATGGCATCTGCTTAATCCTGGGGCTCAGATTTTAGCTGCAGTCCAGAGCAGTGAGTTCGCCACTGGGTTGAAACGCACACTAGACACTCATGGAGCAGTGCAGAGCAGGCTAACTGCAAGCACGACACTAGAGCTGTTCAATTGCACACCAATTTAATCGTAACTTTATCTAAACTATTGCTGTCAAATTTGATATTTATTTTGCAGCCATAAACCTCCACTTAGGTGAGATGATGATGCCCAGTGCTCAAAACTAGCTACAAACAATCTTAGCCACAGTCACCTGGTAAAACTTTGTTATGGCTTCAGTTCAGTTAATAACTTGTGATTAGTATAAGGATAGAGGGCTTAAGTCTCAATGATGTTGGAAGATATGCTGTCAATTATATAAATGTATCTTCTACAGTTATAGTAAGTGCAGAAGATCGCCATAGACTATCTGCAGTGCTTCCATAAGATAATTACCTATTATAACGCGAACTTATAATGCAGATAAGAGACGTTTTGTTTATCGAAAACTACAGCGAGATCTGTTGAGACGCCAGCACACATGTCCCTTATTTCTGGCAGCAATGGTATAACTGGCTCATCGTGACAGCGCAGATAAAGTTCACGTTGTATTTATTGATAGGTTTTGATTTACACATGAGAAGAACAGAATAATGTTGTCAACACAGACTGATCAAACCCAGACTGAACATGAGTGAAGCGCAATCTACATGCAAGGGTGTCTGACCAGGCACTATTTACATCAATTGTAAAGTGACGTAATTGCACCATATCTGTCCGAGTCTGTCCATGGGGCACAGGATATTTTCTGCGTAAGCGGGACAATTAGGGGAAGCGTTGTAAACTTATGTTGGTGCAGAGACGCCAGCACCGTGCGAGGCCGCCGCCGTCTCTTCCACCCGAACAAGGCCGAAGTCACAGCCTGGGAAGCATAAATAATACATTTTCTCCGGCTAACGAGCACAACTGCAACCGCTCCAAAACACAGTGTACACGCCAAACACTCTATTGTGGCCTAAGCTAACAAGAAGTGTTATTTGAGCAAGGTGTGGGGATAATTTACGTAATTTCAGCGGCCTGGGAGGGGGTGGCTGCCAACTGTGAGCTAAGTCTTAGCTAGCTGCCAGCTAAAGCGGAATGCTGCCTAGCTCCTGGTTAGCACTCATGTTAGCACTGGTATTAGCTATGGTGAAGCTTAGCTAACTTAGCACAGTGCAGCTACCTCTGAAACCTCGTCTTCGTCGCTGCCGGATCCAGCACCAGAGGAGAGGACGGCCGCGGCCGCTAGTTTGAAATCCAGTCTTTCGGCTGCAGGCCCGCTTGGCTCCCCGTACAAACGTACTTTCTTTCCGCCTACACCAATCCCAATGCCCCCCAGTCCGACTCCTCCTGGCGTCGCTCCTACCCCCATCCCTGCCACTGGGGAGCGAGGAGTCACCGAGTCAATCTCGTCCTCGAAGCCGTCCGTCAGCATTGCCGTCCCGGCTACTGCATCCTGCATACTTATATTCACGATTTTGGGTTTACGCACTAGTTGTTGACTTAAACGTCCGTCCAGGCTCTTTGTGATAGGGTATTTGCGTGATTTTACTTCAGGGAAGCCAGAAACTCTCCCGAAGCGAGGGTTGAGGAGGATCTCTTTCCCCCAGCCATTAACTTTCTAACAACCTAACCCGATACGCACTGTTTCTCAGAAAGACCGCCTCTTTGGTAGATTCTCAAAACTCCATTCGCTCTGCCGAAACAAACTCATCCTTCTATTGGTCAGCTTAGACGCTCTTCAAAGTGGAGACCGCAACGTCATGTTAGGTTTACCGACATCACGAGGCTGTGAACGAACGTCAAGACTTGACATGGAAGACTACTAACTACAGTTAGCTGTGCTAGTTTATTACAACTTTGTTAGAAATTACACATAAAGTAATACAACTCAACCCATCAGGCAGCTTTAAGACAGTTTTTCTAATATACTTATATAGAACGCATTTATAACCCCTGACTCCGCAACTACTGGCTTCGTAGTATAAACATAAACATTTTAACAAATTTAGGACATGTAGTGATCTAATACTCATAACCATGATCCACTAATGAGGATTCAAATTTAAAATAGCGTAATCAAAATAAGGTATATTTTCAAGTGTTTGTAGAATTTAGCAAAAATCAAGACAGAAGTTGTGTGCGATCCTGGAAAAATAATATATATCTATGTAATATTATTATATAGATAGTTGTTGGTAATGACAGTCATAATCAGTACTCTACACATGTGTTATAGTCTTCTGCTTTTCTCTATTCAGCATCAATCTAAAATGAGACTGGCCTCATGTATCGTTTTCAGGTCTTGGGATCTTAATACTAATTGTGACATAGAGTCTCTATATGAGTCACATGTTGGGTATCAAAGTTCCAGGTGCGTGTATAAATATAGTAATATACAAATAAACTGTGTGCCGAGTTGTCCTGTTGACATCTTTATATGATTGTCTTAAATTTTGTTTTATGCGACTAACATCTACGACACTACAGGAGACCCTCTGGGGAGAGTGACAGGTGGATTTACCCAATGACCAATGATTGTCAAGTGTGAGCTTGCTTGATGAAAATATATTATAAGGGGTTCAAGGCAGTGTAATACGTTTATTATTTCTTTTTAATTTTAATTTTCAATCTTCTGGGGAATGAATTAAATCACGGGACCACCTTGGCTCAAAGCTTATAATAATGTTCTAGGCCAGGCCAGTGCCAGTGTACACTCCCTATTCCTTACGTCATGTTTGTAGGGCGTACCGAGAAGCCGAGGTTGCCAAATACAATAGATTTTGTTCTATAAAGGTTTTACATTTGTATATAAATCATCGAGACTTTATTTTATATGGTAAGGTTTGATATTATCACAACTTTGTCGATTTGATTGTATATTGTATGGGTAAGATTATCTAAAGGAAACAGACAGCTTCTAAAATGTAATTAGATGTTTTTTTCCCCAACTGTTCTCCGCAAAATATATATATTTTTTTCAAATATGTATTTCTGTGTACTATGAATGTCAGGGTTCTCAGTATTCAGCATTTTAGTGTTTCATAATCATACAACATAATAGTGCCTTTCACTGACCAAACGGTGTTATTACTAAAATATCTGGCAACCCATACGACGGCTTCAGCTGCAGTACACGCAAGGAGGAGAACGAGGTCTATTCATACATTTGCAACGTGATTTCAGGTAATTCTCACATATTTGGTTTTATTTAAACGTACTCATAAAATCACACAATTCGATTGGCTTTGGGTCTGAAAATTAAGGCTGGTTTCAAGATTGTATTTTGAATTCTCAACTAAAACTGTTAGCTTCTGAGCCAGTCCCGCTAATAACATGGCGCATGCTGAGAGGGCCGCTTTTGTTCTTTTGTGGGTGCGGTGAAACGGGTCTAAAGCATTACGCTTAATATCCTACAAGCTTTGTGTGTGAAAATAATTCAACCTATATTATATATAATGTGTAACACGAATACATTTCTCTTCGATATACTCTTCAGCTTGTCTAGTTTAGTTCTTCGTCTCCCCTCTTACTAGCTTAGCATGAGCGCGCTCTTGTAGCGTTAGCGAATAGGTATGAAATCGTTAGCTAATTTATTCCAAAATTGTTTCAATTTCATGATTCAGCCCAGTTTGTTTGCCAGGCAATTCACGTTGTAATATGGTGTGTAAATAACTGATCAGAGTTTTACACTTTGTTTCACTTAGACTGAGTCGAGTTGTTACAGTATGCATGGTTCAGTCAGCTTCAGAAGAATGATCATAAAGTCACAGTTCTCTTTCAAAAGACATGAACTGACATGTGTGATTCGTGGCTCATTTTACATTTATTTACTGCATTCACATCTTAATAAATTTAGAATATTTGGCCCGGCCCCCAAGTGAACTAAGAGTTCACTTCAATTGGTGTGTGTGAACACAACCTAACCGGGAACTTACCCAGAGATTCATCCCTTTGTATTTTATCACTATGTAAATGCTCAAATGCACACACACTTGTTGTTTAGGTAAAATATGATTATAATCCATAATCCAACAGTGCAATAGTCCAGGTAGGGGCTAGAGGAGAAAGTCTGACCAACAATGTAAAAATTGTGGCTACTAATTTTTTTTTTTCTACTTAATTTGCATTTTCATTTATATTAAGAATATCTACACTTATTGGTTGAAATGATACCCAGTATAAGAGTTGTATTTATATTCCATGAAAAAAACTAAACAAAAGTGTATTGTATTCATTCAATTCATTTTCAGCCCTAAATCAAAACAGTAGTTCTCTCAGAGGACTTAACAAAACCGTTAAAATGGCCAACACAGACCAGAGAATCAAACAGTTCAAACACAAAGAATATTATATTCACATAAGATTATAATTTTAATCAATCCAATAATAAACAAAATTATTGTTAGTTGCGGTCCTACATGATTTACACTTCATCTGCAATCAAATAGTGTGTATTGTCCCCCCTGACTGCTAATTATCGGTATTGGCCCTGAAAAACCCTTAAAGGTCATACTCTGTATTTTCTGTCACAAGACAGAAGTAGGCCGCTGTTTTCCCTTTAATACTGGTTTGAGATGCTATGCGTCAGTGCCTCTGAAGAACCTTTTTCTTATAAACAAAAGTTTGAGCTCTGAAGTCCGCAACCCACACTAAAAAGGACTAGCCTAGCTAACACCAGGTTAAATATCACAAATTATTATGAAGTCTGGAAATGGTCCATTCATTATCTCATAGGTTAAATGTGGTTTATCATTGATCACGGTATCAATTCAGTTGCTACTATCTACTACTTCTACAAACTACAATCAGCCGTTTTTTGAAGTGTCATCATTTTGCCATCCTTTCCTGGTCTGTGATAGGTCCCCAATTCCATGCAAAAATGTTGGCCTGAGTTTCCAGTTTGAGTGCTCACAGCAGCATGGGACGTCCCAGCTTAGTAGAAGGCGCTATTAGGAAGGGGATTAGCGGCTTTCACAAATTTTTAGATGCATTTTTTTTTTCATATTTCCTTCTAATCACCCCAAATGTACAGATGCTGAAATATACTGAATGTTGTGCTGTCTCTGGTCTTTTTGGACTGCCCTGTTTTATACTTGTACTGCACTCTACTATACTACAGACCCAGTAAGGCAAAGGCCTGTCTTGATTTTGACAATTCTCAAATCTTTGATTTTCAAAAAAGTCAAATCAAATTGATTTGATTTATTACCCAGCCCCCTAGATTTGCATTGTGTCATGCATATTGAGGTGGGTGCATATAATATAACAGTAAGTGTGTTTTGTTATTTTGAAATAAATCAAGTCAATTAGGGCCATGACTAAAATTACATATTTTTGGGACATGGGACACAATGCTCCAAACTGAGACTTTATCAGAGTCAACTCTAATCACCCCAGTTTAGAGCCCGTGTACATACCAGGATCATGGCAAGATACAACTTGTATAAAATAAAATATCTTTATTTTTTTCAGAGAATATTTCAATCATGGCTGAAGAGGGTTATGTTGTTCGCATCAGGGGTCTCCCGTGGTCCTGCTCAGCTGATGAACTATTGCGGTTTTTCTCTGGTAAAAGAAAATGCATAAACACTATATATAATCTTGTAAGACTGTTGATTAAACTAAGGAAGTGCTTTTCCACAGATTGCAAAATTCTCAACAACGCTGGTGGAATCCACTTCACTTACACAAGAGAGGGTCGACCCAGTGGTGAAGCATTTATCGAATTGGAAACTGAAGATGACATGAAAGTTTCTATGAAGAAAGACAGAGAAACAATGGGCCATCGATATGTGGAAGGTATTTTAAGAGCAAAGATGCATTTATTCACTTGGGCTTTTTTTATTTGCCAGGTTTTGACTAATCACTTCTCTTTAGTGTTCAAGTCCAACAATGTTGAGATGGATTGGGTTTTGAAACATACTGGTCCAAATTGTCCGGAGACTGGGGGTGACGGACTTGTCAGACTTCGAGGCCTCCCGTTTGGTTGTAGCAAAGAGGAAATTGTACAGTTTTTCGCAGGTAAAATTATCTTCCATATTATGATTGTGATGACCGTATTTCAATGTGTAACCCCTTCTTTATGGTTATCTTGGATTCTTAGTAGTAGTATAGTTTTTGTAATGTTTTATGTTGTATTTTCCCATTTTCATTTTGCTACATTTTTAGATTATCGTGTTTATCCACAAGAACTGTTTATTATCAACCAGGTCTTTTTCTTTATTCTTCATCCACATATTATCCTGACGTCCCACAAAGTCCCTTCATAATCTTTCTATATCCTGGTCATTTTCATTTATAATGCTTTGACTATGACTCACAAAAGCTTTCAGTGGTTTATTTTACAATTGTGTTTATGTATAGATCTATAAGTTGTCTCTCTCTCTCTTTAGAGAAAGTCTCTGTGATTGGGCATGTGATTTTAATATGTCCCCTGCTGGGGTTATCTGTCCTTGGGTTGAAGGGTTGGAAATCGTGCCAAATGGGATAACATTGCCGGTGGACATCCAGGGGAGGAGTACGGGGGAGGCCTTCGTGCAGTTTGCTTCACAGGATATAGCTGAAAAGGCTCTAAAGAAACACAAGGAAAGAATAGGGCACAGGTGGGGATGGTTGGTTGGTTGACTGGATAAGTTACTTTTCTTATGGTGTGCACCTTATACATCTTAATCACACACATCATATTTCCTACAGAATTTGCTAATACACACAAACAAGCATTTGTATTACATTTTTGGACATCTATGTATGGTCCTCATGAAAATGTAAAAAATGTTTTAAAGCTGTCTTGACACAAACGCTGTCCAGGTTGATAATGGTAAGCGCATTTCCACAAACACTTCAAATCATTAGTCCAGTGTACCCATGGATCTGAAGCCCACTGTCACAGGTATTGCTTGGGGTGGGCTGCAGATGGGGTGGAGCCCACTACTGTTCCTCAAACTACAAAATGGCTGTCATGGCAAGGGCTCTTCATTCAGTATTGATATCAACCATAAGAAAAGTGATCACATAAAAATGCAAAAACACATTTCAATAATGCTACGTTTATATCACATGGTGTTCACTATAGTATATACCATGACAGCATGTAGAATCTCCATAGTGCAATTTGATATTGGCAGTTGTAAGTAATGATAAATGCAGTCTTTTCTGGCATCCTGCCGTGAGCCTATCCTTACTGTGATGCATGTATTGTCTTAGGTACATAGAGATCTTCAAGAGCAGCCGCGCTGAGGTGCGGACACATTATGAACCACAGAGGAAGCCAATGGGCATGCAGAGACCAGGCCCATACGATCGACCCTCTGGGGGCCGCGGGTATAACATGATGGGCCGTGGGGGGTCCTATGACAGAATGCGCCGCGGCGGCTACGGTGGAGGTATGCTTATGTCTTTTAACATAGTGTGAAGACTGGACAATGAGATTACATTTCCTATAATTCCTTCCTAATCTCATTTATTGAGGTGTCTCCGATGGACGGTATGGAGATGGTGGATCGTCTTTTCAGAGTACAACCGGTCACTGCGTTCACATGAGGGGTCTTCCGTATAGAGCCACAGAAAACGATATCTACAACGTTAGAGAATTTTTGATTGTAAAAATGTTTTACTTCCTTGTTCATGCACCTTAATTAACATCTCTTTTATCTTGAATTCTAGTTTTTCTCACCATTGAATCCAGTTAGGGTTCATATTGAAATTGGTCCAGATGGGAGGGTAACAGGAGAAGCAGATGTCGAGTTTGCCACTCATGAAGATGCCGTGGCAGCAATGTCCAAAGACAAAGCAAACATGCGTGAGTGTTCACCTCTAGGCGTACTTTGCTTTATGTCAATGAGGTTCTCAATGGTGTTTCTTTCCTTCTGCCAGAGCATCGCTATGTCGAACTATTCCTAAACTCGACAGCAGGTGGCAGTAATGGGACATACGGTGGTCAGATGATGGGTGGCATGGGTGAGTCAAGCATTGTAAAGCTGCATGTTTGCATGTTTGTGTAACCCTTTTAATATGATGCTTGTGTCTATCTTTAATAGGAAGTCAGTCGTACAGTGGAGGCCAGATGAGTTCAGGATATTCTGGCGGATATAACAACCAAGGAAATATGGGTGGCTACAATGATTACAGTGAGTGTCAGCTCTTGCGCGTAGATGTATAAAGCCTTCACTCTTTTTAAATAAAAGGGCCAAGAGTCTGATAATGTGTTGTGTAGACAATTCAGCATTAAAGTCAACATTCAATTGAAATAATAAATGTATTCTGCAATATACTTAAAAATATAACAAAAGTCTGGAGCCAGTGTTACTGGAATAAGGCATTCTCATCCCAGTGAAATAAATGGAAAATTCAAATATACCTTGGGAGACTGGAAATATACTTGACTTTGGAAATGTAGATGATTATGCCCAGAATTAAATGTATTTCTTTTGACATTTTCATAATTATGCCTTGCCTTTGTATGGCTCTGATTTCTCCAGACTGGTGAAAGTGGATCTTACTTCTGAACTGTCACGTCTTAGGTGAAAATGTAGGATGTGATTACATACGCTTTGTTCGATTTCAAGATGAAAGGCATGTCCATAAGAACAGATGTGTTGACTTTAAATATTGACTGATTTAGTCATGACATGTGCAATCCAGATCTGTGGTCCTATAGTGTGTATTTTGTTTCTTGTTAGGTAACCAGGGCGGAATGGGAAACAGTTACTATGGCGGCGGCGGAGGAGGAAGCCGGGGGTCCATGAATGGAATGGGAGGGGGATGGGGAATGTAAATTTTTATTTTATTTTCAGCTCTTTGCCGGATGTACTGGAAAAGTTTATCTTGTGTAGAAACAAGCTGATTTGATAGAAGTGGATGTCTTTGGTCAACAATATTTGTTTTTAGTTACAGATGCATCGCGCTGAGGTCTGTGCTTTTAATTTTATTACCAGGAACTTGTGTTGTCCATTTGTTAGTCCAGTATTTCTCTCTACCTGGTGGTTTTCACATGTCAGTGACTGAAAGCATGTACGAAAATGTTTTTCTACCTTTTTACATGTGTCTCAAGTTCAATTTTGTTTTCACTTTTGATTAGGCAATGAGGGGGGTGCCCCAAGCAGGTACATTTTTGATCTGCTGGTTTAAGGTTTCTACTGCTTTAAATAGTATTTGTAATTCATGTGCAAAAGTGAATAAACTAGTCAACAAATGTGACGTGGAAAGGTTTTATTTTATCAAAGTTAGAAAAGGGAACATCCAAATGATTTCAGCAAGTTTAGGTGAGAAGATTTGTACAGTACATTCTATTACCAGCATAAAACCAAATACATTGGTGCTCTAAAGGTGAGCAAAACTGCAGTTACCAAGCCCATCATTGAATCATTGTAATGACAATTAGTCAGCTATCTTTTGGATTGTTAAACTTTAGATTACGGCATTTATCAAATACAAGTATGCGTCATTGCGTAAAGTGTCAAGATTGTGAGATTTTGCCTCTCTGCAGCAGGAGTGAGTGGCACATGTCACACACACGAACAGGGCGTGGGTACGAGGGTAAGGCCAGCTCGTTACTAGAGCAACTGTTGCAGTAAATATCCCCACAGTTCCTACAGTGATGCTGCAGAAAACACAGTCAGTGAATGGAAGAGACCAAGCATATTTGAGTTAGTACCTTTCTGCGTGATATTGAAAACTCTTTTTGGCATTGTTTGCATTGAGTCGCTTCATCATCTTTCAACCAGGCATGACCCTAGTGAGAAGTAAAGTTAACAAGTTACAAGAACCGAATGAAGACACTGCAAAAGAGTTATGTATACCTTAAGTGCTTTATTAACTTCCCTGAAATCTTCCATCTTTAATTTGGACCTTTTTATCCAAAGAAGATTCTGGTTATGTAAGTAATGGGGTGAATGTTGCCCAGACCAAAGATACTTACTGACTAAGGTGCAGTCCCATCTCCTGTAGAGCCTTTTCCTGCTCTTCACATATCTGCTGAAGCTGCTGCTTTTCCTCTTTTAGGCCCTGCATCTCCTACAATGATGGAAAAGTACAGTATGGTTGACCTCAAGATGAAAATGTCCAAGTGTCATGAGAAATTACTCTAAACTTACTGTGTGGAGCCCCTGCAGTTGTTGTAACTGTGTTTGTAATTCTGTGCTGTTGTCTTGCTCTCTTTGAAGAGTTTTCTGTAGGCTTTGCCTCTTTTCTCTCTCTGTTCGCAACTCCATCTCTAAACCAAGCCTATTTTTTTTATTTTATTTTTTTATTCAAAAAAATATATGTCAACATGACATTCCTGTTACAATAATGCATCACAAGCTAAGGATCTTTTGGATCATCTTCACCTCATTGCATCCAGGTCGGAAAGCTGTTTCTGTAAAACGTCCGTTTTCCCCTTGAGCTCGTCCTTCATCTTTTTATCATTTTGAACATCTTTTCTTCGTTCTTGCTCAGAGTCTTGTAATCTGTTTTAAGATGGGAGCTATTCATTAAGTCACATCTCACATTAAGATGCTGTAATTACAAAAGCAGACCGTTTCTCCAAATCCTTTAAAGTATTTTCCATTTCATGCATTCTCTGCTCAAGCTGGGTTGCTTCTGCCTGCTTTTTTTCAGCTTCCTGCTGTGATGCCTTCAGGAAGGTATCAAAGAATTATTATGGTGCACATATCTTTAGCAATAAAAATAATTAGATTGTTACAATACCTGTGCCTTTTGAAACATTTGCAAGTTTAGAGTCTTGACCTGGTCAAGCTGGAGCCGCAGGGCTGCAAGTGTGTTTTGCTTTTCATGTGTGTCTTTCTCCAACAGCTTCATGGCCACCTCCATTTCTTGCTTGAACCCAACTTGTAATTCCAACTCACGTTCCAACTCCTAAGATAAAAAATTTTGTGTTCTTTGTACCAGGTACAACATTGGTACAAACAGTGCACCAGCAACAAATAAAAAAGCCCTTTCACTTAAACTTTGAATATTAAATTTAATAGCAAAGCCCATGTTAGAGCCTATTAACCAAAATAAAATAAATATTGTTTTTATAATCTAGAGAAAACCCATGTAATAAAAGCATTCGAGTTTGTTAAGGACAATTTGAAAAAGAGAGAGTTTAAATAAAGTAACTTTCATAGAATACTTTGTAGAAGTGGTCTTCCAACCTTTCATTCAGCGCTCTCAAATATCGACCAAATCAAGTTGCAACTCTCCCTTTTTTGTTAATGACTATCAAAATGTCATTAAATCAATAATTTTTATATTGGTGAAGTATTGTATAATTTGAATTTAATCTTGAAATTGATTTATATCACACCCTCCACTTTGAGAACTGCTTTTCTAAGGTCAATATGTTGATTTGAAAAGGAATATGTTCCAAGTTACCAGGCGAATGCGCTTCTCCTCTTTGTACTGGGTCCATACCACATTGTACATCTCGTCCAGGCCTTGTCTCGTCTGTCTGTACGTGTCCAGCTCGGCTTGGCTGTCTTGTAGTGCTGCCTAGGAGAGGGCACAGAGCAACAGGTCAATCACCACGTCCTTGGGTATACGTGACTAATAGTTATAAATAGGGATGAACTAAAATGTGTCAATGTGAAATTTCAGCAAATGGTATATAAACAAAATCTAGACAAAGTGGTTTTGGATAAAAACAATTCTCTTATCACTTGTGTTATGGCTTCAATATTATTTTTGGGGCCTGACCTCTTCCTTCTTTTGACTGGAATGCAGAATAGACTCGTTCTCTTTTTTCAGCTGTTCTTGTTCTTCCCTCAGAGAGTTTATCCGATCAGTGGCTGCAGTCAGCTAAAAAGACAAAAAAACCTTTATCCATTATAAAGTGCACTATCACTTTTGGTGAGCAGTCTCTAGATTGTAATTGCTTCCTCAATCACTATACAGTTTAATAAAAGCACGGTTTAATACAGAAACATTTTAGGAATTTACCTCCTCAACAAGTTTGCCATTTGTCCTTTCCAGGGAGTCCATCTTTGCTTGTAAATCTGTGACTGTTCCACTGAGGTGTCGATTTAACTCCTCAACATAATGCTTTTGATCAAGAATAACATTCATCTTTGATTCACTGTGAAAAGTTAAGATTTAAAATTGCTTATTAACAATGATAATGATTACAAATACCCCATAAAAAAGTATCCTTACTCTTGTGAAGTTTCACTGTGTGCAGGGTCTTTCAGGTAAAGAGAAAAGTCAATGACTCCAACCTAAACAGAGGTAACAGAGTAATCCACCGCGCTCAGTTTTAACACATAAACATGCTCACTTGTACTCTTTGTACCTGAGAATCAAGGTCTTCTCCTTTAATACACAGGTTGGCATCAATAACATTGACTCCAACCAACAATCCCCCCATGACTGAGCCTTCCTCTTCAATCATTAGAGCACCTGCATCATAAAACTCACTGCAGAAAAAAAAATCATTTTAATAAAATCAATCATTTTACTCTCATTAAATCATTTTATGGTATTAACCTAAGGAGCTCTTTATGGTCCAACAGAACTTTCATATAGTCAGCCACTTTCTTCTGCATTAGTGCCAAATGCAGCCACGCCCTTGCTCGTCCTAACCCACTCCTGTCAACACATTTGTAATTGATCAATATTGAAACAGACAAACTCCGGTGCCTTGACTTACTTGATGCCCGGCATGTCTCTGGCACTTGTGGTAATATCTACAGATTCAGGGCAAAGTTTCTCCACCAGCTCCAATGGTCCCCAAATAGATTTGTTCTGGCTAATGAAAGATTTCTTTACTGCAAATACAAAACAAAAGTCTAACAGCATTGTTCAACACAGCTATATGAGTAGTAGTCAATTCAAAAAGATCTCTAACAATTGACTAATTATTTTATTTAAATAAGGATTTATATAGGACAAAGTCGAAATCAAAAAGCTGGATATCTGTGAAGCCCTTCAAGCCAACTGTTGTGATGTTGGGCAAGACAAAAGTAAAATGATTTGATTTGAAAGTAGATACTATACTAATCGTTTTATAATCTTCTGTTACACACCCATGTGAGTTGATTATGTTTTTGTTAACCACAGCCCAATGTATTTAATATTAACCTTTTAATCCATGCTTGAGGCAGTGTTCTAGAACAACAAAGAACTGTTGCAGTGGAGGATATTCAGAATCCATTGTCCGGCCCAGGCTCAGAGAGGACTGGATCAAGACTTTGATGCTCAGCTTCATCATACTGAGGAGATTGGATCTTTCTATAGCCATGTGATCCTTTGGGGGCAAAACTGAAAAAGAAAAACATAGACACACTTTTTAAATACCAGTTCAGTCATGAGGAGTGCTTATTCTGTGTAGTTTAAGAACACTTCACAACAAGCAGCATACATATCAGTATAAAATAGAGAAAACAAACAGTTGTATGTGTTCAATCAAACCATGACCATGCACAGTCATGTGCTTAGATAGTTCACTCCAAGTTAAAAACTAGGGCATAAGCTTCCTTAGTGTGTAATGTGATGGTTCTACAGGGGACAGCACCTGGCAGCTTCCTCACGGTATTCAGCAACTCCTGTGGGCTCTGGTGGTCCGAGACAGACCCCTGGCCACTGCTGTTTCTTCTCGGTAGAGCCGCAGCAGCTGAGATAACCCCTCCACTGATACTCTCCGTGGCCTTCCGAGCCAGAGACAGCAGAGGCGCGGACCAGTCACTCTGCGCGGCGTTTAGAGACGTGTCCTCGTCCTCCACGGGACAGCTCCCTCCCGCAGCGTCGCCATCTGAGGCGTCTGGTGAAACTTGCAGATGGTTTGTCTCCTGTTTGGACTCGTTACTCTCCACGGTTGTGTTTAAAGTGTCTGAAGTGTCTAAAGTGTTTACCTCCTCCGCCTCGTCGGCCATGTTTGAACTCCTGACGTCACGAAGCGGTCATGTGATCCCAGCTTTAGACTCAGAGTACATCGCGCCACCTGCTGGTTCGACTCTGGATCGATGTAAAAATAAAGAGACAGGATAGATCCATGATTACGAGTCCTAAATATTTACAGTCTATGGTCCTAGCGTTTCCGGAAAATATGCTAATATATTTTTATAAGAGTTTCACAACAGAATTTTTCTAAACAGGGGCTAATTATATACTTCCCTAAAAGCCTTAAACATAAAATATGTTGTCATGTTGGATGCTTTTATTGCACTAAAAAGTACGCTTTGATACCCATGGATCTATCCTCCCGATGCTTGGCGGCAGTATGGAAGTTTTGTAATGTCAATGTGTATGTAATGTGATATTTAAAGTCTAAGATGTAGCTGATAAATCTGTAATACACTGCATGCATGAGATGTGAGGTCAGGTCAGCAGTGTTAATTTATCATTGTTTGTTGTACAGTCTGACATCAGCAGGAAAGAAGGACCTGCGGAACTTCTCCATCACACAGCGTACACTGAAACTGCTCTCCAGACCATGACTGACACTCCTTGCAGGGCAGACTGTGTGCTGTGGAGAGCAGATTCAGTGACAGACTGATCCACCACCGCTGTGTGAAGGAGAGGATCCAGTAGACAAGGTGCCTTGCAGGGCTGACAGACATGGTGCATAGATTTCAGCAATGCAGTTCCATAAGATGAGAAGTTCCTTTATTCTTCCCACTGCTCTGTAAACTAACTAAAATCCCCAGCGCGTGGATTCAGTCAAAGAAAAGTTGCAAACAAAAAAGATGGCAAAACCTGTTAATGTCTGAAAAAACATACAAAAGATCTTGTGGTCATTACTCACCAGCAGATCAGCCCATGTGTAAGTACTGTTTATAATTGTCCGATATGAAACCTATAAGCGGACTTTCAGCTCTATAAGCAACAAAGCCAGAAAGCACTGCATGTCCATTAAAACTACAGCTTTGTTTCAGGATCTAAGGAAAATATGTATTCCAATGTGGTTTTACTGCAAATGGAAAATAAACTGAATCTGAAATGAAAGTCTGTTTATTTATAAATGTTGTGACAAACAAACAATATTGTATCATTTTATTCACTGATGACAACTTTGCTTGTCACATGGTTTCACAAACTGCTAATGCTTTTCATTTTTTCCAAAAAGCCAAAGAGACGGAGGAAACCACATGTTTTGTTTTTTTTTTACAGTGGAAACTGCTGGAGGTGCAGATGAGGTTCGCCTTTCCCCTCACTGATATCTTCATTCTGGAGGAGGGCTCACTCCTTCTTGTTCTATTCTTTTGACTGTAATCTTTTACGGCAACAACCTTTTCCATTACTTTAGAAAGCATATCTGTACTTTCTCTTCCGGGTATAAGTACAGATATGCTTTCAAACTTCAAAGTACTTGATTACTTTATAAATAGTTATAAATCCTGCCATACAGTTTGAGCTTCAACCACCGTGGAAACAAATAAAATATGTTCACAGTATTGTATTCACATATATTGTCGACCAAATCAGTGTAATATTGTATTCAGTCAGCATGTTTGGGTGTCCAAAAACACTATGCAGTACTACATATGTTTACATTTGAATTGGGTTCCTCAATACGTATTTTTACATACACATTATTTTACTTACTATTTTAATGTAATTTAAAAACTTTAACCAATAAAGAGCAGGCATATACACTTTCCAAAAGCTAACATTTCCATTGGTTCTCCTCTAACTACTACATTTGTGTGTGCAAATGCAGATAATCCTTTGTGTTGCGCATAGTTATTTGAGTGGTGATTATAATTCATAGTGGTCTCGCCACATTCAACAACCAACCAACCTCAAAACTACAAATGTGTTTCCCCATGTATTCGAATTCCAAAATTATAATACAAAACTTCCAGTGAAACTTTCAGAATTCTACCAACAAGTCCTTTTGTATTGGATACTCAACTTCAAACACAATTTCAAACACAATTCACCAATTTGGAATAACCGATGTATTAAAATAAGTTTCAGATCCAGTGTACACTACAAAAATATAAACAAATTCTTAAAGCTCTCCCTCAATCGCTCTGTAATATAGTTACACAGGAGCTCATTCATCCCAATGTTGTCCCGATCATGAGGAGACTGTTCATGGTATCAATTTTAATGACATTAAATGTAACGACAGATTCCTTCAATCCTGCAGTTCTCTCAAACAAGAGTATATTCTCAAAAAATATCAAAAGGAACAAATCAAAAAGATTAGATACAATTATTTAAAATAGCCTCTCCCTTTCGAAAATAGAGAAATTCAACTCAAAATTATAAACAGGATTTAGCCAACTAATTCCTAAGGTCCAGATTTCAATTGGATGTGGACAAATGTGGATTCTGTCAGACGTTAACAGAGGATTTAGATCATTTATTTTTGTAATGTGAATCTGTCTAGACATTCTGGTTTGACTTTCAAAGAGGGATACGGATCGAAGGAATTCTACTGCCAAGTTTATCTATTTATGATGTAATGTTTGGTATTTCCATTAACATTTAGTTTATCTGAATATGGTGTTAATAATCTTATTGATACCTAAACATTTTGTTTTCATGTGCCGGTTTTTAAAACCATCCCGAACTACACTGATTGGAGGAATGAGTTCAAAGAATTCTATTATTTACTAAATTTCATAAATTCTAAGAATACTATTAAACTTCTTGTTTCTTGATACTACTTTGTTGTTTGTAAATGCATTTACAAAAAACAAACATCTAAATGTATGCCCTGTTTTTGTTTTATTTTTAGTTTGTCTTTTGTGTTTTTGTATGTAATGTATGAAGGTTATTTGTATTTAAAGGCATCTGTTTTGTTTGTATTATGTTTGAATCTATAATAAAATATATTTAAAATACCAAAACAATTACAATAGAAGCGATAACTCATATCTACCACCTAGTGGCGCACCTCACTCGTCCAATTTTAGACTGCCCAATCTTTAGGGAAGATAATTTTATTTTACCATGAGTGTAAATGGTCAATGGTGAATGGTCAATTCAGCTAATTGAAGCTAGTGCCCAATTAGCTGAATGCTAATATGGTTCAATGAGCTCCGTGTGCTGCCAACTGTGATTTGAAAAGCATGGGAATTAAGTAAGTATCCTTATTTACTTGTAGATAGTTTTAAACACTTTACATGGCTATATTTCGTTGTGGTAGTTCGTAAAAATACATGTAAAGTCCTTGTTGCTTGTTATTTGTCTAAATGTATGTACCTATGTATTATAGATGTGGAAGCTCTGTAGGCGTGGTCCTTGCAGCCATAAATACCAGCGCTGCTCTGTCAGGACGCTCTTTCACTGCACTCGTCTGACGCAAACAGCGCGCTCTCATCACACCCTTGAGCTTTGCGCCCAGACGGAATTTGCTCTCTGAACTCGCATTCAACACTGCGACAAAACAAAACAAAACAAAAAGAAAAGAAAAATAAGAAGGAAAAAAACGGAACTTTTTTGTAAACAAGAAACAGGAATACACCGTTTGGAAACAATGAGGATTTCCAGTGTTGTGGCGTTGCTGCTTCATGCGCTTGGTAAGTTTCCACTTTTGACGCGCCTTGAATGTTCCTTTAGTTTGTACATTTCATTTTCAACATATACAACTTCTTTGTTCATGTTTCCGTGCCTTAAGAGGCCCTCTCCTATTCTAAAGCATGCTTTATGTAACAAGATACATTTATTTTTAACTCATATTCTTATAGGACATTACCTAAGTGTCTCTATATGCGTTTTGTGTGGTTGTGTTTGTGTGTGGTGGATTGTGTTTCATTCAAGTTCAAGCCTTGCGAGAAGGAAATGACTTGTCAATGATAAATTGCAACATAAAGTAAACATTTTGAGAGGGAAATAGTTCTCCCTCAAAGCTAAGGAAAAAAAATGTACTCCCCTGGTCAAACATGTTTCAACTTGCCTCTGATGCACCGCCCACCTGAACAGTGGGCCCTGGCATGGACCACCTGTACAAAGCGAATCAAGGCCATATTTGAGGTATTTGATCCTGACACTTATTATTTCCTCTTATTTGTACAGTAATGTCCAGATCAGTGAGCGGTGCTGCAGTGGACCGATATGAAGGGGACAGACTGAGCAACACAGCGGTCATCAACTTGCTGGCATCAACTCAAGACAAAAGGACAGAGCAGAGCTTGTCTGTGGCCACGACCACTATGGACTACACTCAAGAGGACGAAGACTACAAGGAGGAGCAGGAATACTACGATGAAGAGTACGAAGATGGACTGTCGGGGGATTATGAAATGCCACGAGGTAAGTCCTGGCTGCCACACGCCCATTCACCGCATTGCATTCATTGGGTCTAAAATTCATCTTCCTTTGTAGTCTCAATGTCAAGCAAACCAAATGACCCTTCGTCTATCTTGGAGGCTGAAAAAGCAGAGGGCACCAGAAGGAGAGGGAATGGGAGAAAAAAGGGGAAGGGCAAAGGTAGAAAAAGAAATCCTTGTTTAAAGAAGTATGTGGATTACTGCATTCATGGAACCTGCCGATACATGAGGGCCATCCGTGCTCCCGCTTGTATGTGAGTATCAACTTGATATCTCTTCTTCAGTTGCAAATATTGTGAAATGAATCTAATCATTGTGTGTCTTGTATAGCTGCCATCAGTGGTACTCTGGGGACAGGTGCCAATTTTTCACACTGCCCGTAGAGAAACCACAAGAAGGCTACAGCCGGACAACCGCACTGGCCGTCATCGCAGTAGTGTTGTCATCTGTCTGTCTCACGATTATTGGGCTTTTATTAATGCTAAGGTGAGTTATACACATAGATTACTGGTTCAGAAGAGAAAAAAAAAATCAAAGAACAGTTTGTCTGATGTTGTTTTGTTCATTTTTAATCACAGGTTTCATAAGAGAGGAGCATATGATGTGGAAAGTGAAGAGAAGGTCAAACTAGGGTCCAACCACTGAAGAGATGGATACAGGTAAGAAGCAGCGACATTAATATTAACAAAATGGTTAGCACAAAGCCTAAAGGGAATATATAGTAGTAGTAGTAGTAGTCACATATTTGATTCAAAAACGTATGTACAAAAGACTGCTGACTCAGACTAGACATGCCCCAAACACTCTCTGACCCTACACCTCTCCCCCATCACATGTTCTAATTAAGTTTCTGTTTTCTTTTTCAGGGATACGATGCAGAAATTCTACCTCAACATAGAAACGTGAACTGCAAGAAGGGTCCTAAAATAATGGGAATATACACTTCATGAAAGAAGAGACCTGGAGTGCCGGGCTGCCTGCTTTCAGCGTTCTTCCCACAAGGCCCCAACTTGAGGGTGGCTTTCCTAAAAAACTGGAATACCTGGAATAGGACTGGCCCTAAAGATGGACTGGAGTAAAGCGTGCGGTGATGAAGAGAGGAGGAAGAGGATGTCTCGAGACTGGGCTGCTTCTCAGTGGCGTGAACAGAAGACTGAACCGAACAGTGTGAAATGTAAACAGTGCATTTTGTCTTAGTTGACAGTGTTTTATATTTTTTTTCTTGCACAAATCCAACCATGTTATGTACAGTAAAAACAGTATATTTATAAGTTTAATTTATTTATTTAAGTGTATTTATGTAGATGTTTAACCACCGTTAGCTGTTTTTTTTTTTTTTAAAGCAAATGTTACAGATTTGTGTTACGTATACAAATATATTTATTTATTAGTACTACATGGGGATAACTCCTGTTTGCGGAGCGATCTGATCAATTATAATTGTTGTATTTAAGAAATAATTGGTAGCACTGCTAGTAATGCATTTGTAATAATACATGTTGAGCCCTGTTTCCACCAGGCCTACGTGGCCCTACTACTATTGTTTCGATTAGGCTTTAGTATCTGGTACCGTATCCTAGCCACCTGCTATCCACCAAACACATCAGTATCTGGGGAAATTCCTTGGTAAACACGGTGTTCCAGCAGCATTCCGGCCTATCACTGAGAACCAGGGCCAAGCTAGTCCAAAAAAGTAAATAGTATCGGTTAAACAGAACCGGTGGAAACTATCTCAATCAGGGCAGAGCTGAGTAGAGTAGGGTCAAGTCGGGCTGGTGAAAACGAGGCCAGGGTAATATTTATGATTTTAATGATCTGTAATGGATGGCAGTGGGACTTCTCACTGAGTAATGCACTTCAAAGAAAACAAATGTATGATCTACACCGTATTAAAATGACTTATGACTCTGCTAATGTATGTAGTGTACGCTGACTATATGTCCAATATACATTATCGTCTGCTTCGCTCACAAACTGTTCAGAAAGTGTCAGAGAAGATTGAAGCCAAACCACTGTAGCAAGAAAAGGGTCAATGAACGACATTGTCATTGTCTTACTGTTAAAGCAGAACCGCCCTCAGCGTAAGCCATTCCCCGCTGAGATCTTTGTTAAGCTGTCAAGCATAAAATGTGAATACTGCACCACCCATTCAAAACTGGAGTACTGGAGTTTTGACGTGATTTCTATTTATGTGGATTTTTATTTCAGATCAAAATAAAACGTTGTAAAAAATGCCACAATTTCCTTTTCCTTTTCTTTATGCCACTTTCATATTGACTCTGACATTCACTTCCCGTTTCGAAATTCTATCTTGTTTTGTGTATATTTTTATACAGGAACTAACAAATTTAAGTCATATGTCAAGCACTTCAAGCACATCAATTTCGAATGATTAAATAGATTATCTAAAGCTGGGGTGCTTAGCTTTATTGAGTTTGTCTAAATTAAACAAGTAGTTTTCTGAACAATTTTGACCAGTACATATTGTTCTAGGGTTAAAACCATAGACTGTATATAATTTAAAACATGTTATCTTTTGCATACAAGTAGGCAAGAGGTGGGTAGCCTGTGGGTTGGCTGGGTGAAGGGGCACTTCTATTTTTCAGTTTTATGTCCAAAAAACTTGATCTAAAGATGCCGAAAACACATGTGAAAACTATTGACAGAAGAAAAGAGATTAGATCGATTTTAGTAAATTTGTTTCTGTTGTTGCTTGTAATCTAGGTACCCCAGCTTTAAATCTTACGCTGTGTTCATTTTGTTTTCCTCCATTGCATTTGATCCTCGCTGCTCTATGAGGCACTGAACATTAGGACTAATGGAGTCTTGTAATAAAACATCAATACTAAACTAAACTCACTCCTCATGCACTTTAAAGCCTTGTACACTGTGAGCACCCTGTCTGGCTATGACAACCCACTGAGTTCCTAAAACATGTTCAGGAGATGTAATTATAGTTCAGACAATGTTTTGATTTCCTTCTTGTGGGTGACTTTGTTGTGTCCTATTTTAGCTCCGGCACCTGTGTCCTGGCCATTAGCACTGCAGCGTTTTAAGTCTCTCACACAGCCTCAGGAAATTAAGACCAATCAGAACAACTGCGGCTTGAACTCCTCCACCTATGCAAGCAAACAGATGTGCGGAGCTCTTTGAAACACACACCTGCCTTTCAGAGACACACCATAGGCCCAACTTTTCAAAAGCGTCGCACAAAGGGCCACACAGTTCAGACAGACCGCAGAGGGCAGATGCTAGCAGGACGCAAAAAATGTAATGTAATGTAATGCTTGCCACACACACTGCTTTAATGCACGAGTCTCAAGAGCCAGCTGGAATCAAAGGGAGTCAGAACTTAGTCACCCCTTGAAGTCACCCCCAGGACAGATGTTGTTAAGCAGTAGTAACGTCATATTCTAGATAGGTTTCAATGGTTAACCGAGCGCAAACCGCCTGTGTTCACTTGTTTGCTGTATGGAGCAATTCTGGATGTCGTGTTGAGTTTCTCACAGATTTACATGGCCTCAGGGTGGGGCTTCTAATTGAGGAGTGATTGCTGTTCAAATGTTGAGTAACCAAGAAACATTTCACTAGATTACTGTAGAGAGATAGCAGAAGTTTCAACTGCCAAGAAGAGAGGCTTTCGCAAGGTGCAAAACAGTAGATAGACACTAATACTTATAGAAAACGTGAATAGGCCTTCTTCATTAGAGCTAGTACCATTGTTTATTAGTAATTTATTAATATGAATTAGGAGTAATAATTTCCTAATGGATGAGTTATATATCAGTGACTGTCAGGATTGGAGCATTACTATTTTGCTTTAGATTTTTAGAACAAAATGGTTGATTTGAGTATATGATGACTATTAGTTGATTATAGATTGCCTAAGCCTTTGTCTTACATTTGTGCAGTAGCTTCTTGTAATGTTTTTGGCTAATAATTTGCCAAGGAATTCAACGGAGGCCTACACAAATCAAGATGTATACGGGCTTCAATCACTTATTAACTTACTGTGTGAATAAAATGACATCAATATAGACCGCACAAACCAAATCAATAAGAAAGTTTCAATAAATTATTCACCTATTTGTTTGTATAGTAGTTTCAGCGGCAAGATGAAAGAGGACCCACAACCCAAACCCTAATGCAAAAATAATTGTTTAATGATAATAAGGAAATTAAAGTCCAGGAAAAACCGAACTCAATAATCAAAAAGAACCAGGAACATTACAGACATGGACATTGGGTCAGCAACAAGGGGAGAGTAGCACAGGTACATAAAGACAGAGACACAGGTGAAACACATTAGGGCGGGGCAGACAATCAACACAGGGGAACAGGAAATCAAAGTAAAACCACAGAACTGAAGCCAAAATAAAAAAATGTAATCCACATGTATGTATTAAAGAAGCTATACCCGTTTCTGCAAGGTATTTTTCAGTTTGAATGTTTAGCACCGCCCACCAACTCGCTCACTCCCCTACGCTCTCCTCCCACGGAGCCATCTAGTTTTAGTAGCGATCTGATACATATGCAAACTAGAGTTTCGCTTTTCAGCCCGAGCCCGAGCAGGCCCGAGCTCGGGCCTCACTTCAGCGCTCAGCAGTCGGGCCGTTCCGGGCTCGGGCTCCTTTTTATTTGTACTTTTTTAATTTTTTTTAATCAACATTTAAAAAAAAAAAGGATTTTCATACATAATGATGTGCATATATGTATTTATTAATAATAATGTCCGTTGATTGACAAAAAGTTATTAAAAAAGTTAATATATTTATAACACCGTAACCGGCGTGTCCTACAGCCATGAACGCATCATCCCTGTTTTTCCTGTTGAATGCTACGGTCAACAGTGAACACACGGAACATTAACAGAAATGGATCAGGTGGACGTACGAAACACATTCAGAAGTGGCTAAACTTGCAATTGGAAGGTGAGTGTGCACAACAAGGGAAATCAGATGTGTCGGGCTTCTGTCGGGCTCGGGCCTATTATACAACCTTAATTGGTCGGGCTTATACGGGCTCTGGCTTAGTATTAGCGGGCTCGGGCCGGGTCGGGCTTGATTTTTCAGGCCCGAACGAAACTCTAATGCAAACATTAACATTAGCACGTCTTGTCAACAATCACTGATGAAATGGTACAAAAGCAACGCACTGCTAACAAAATATACAAAGATACAAAGATTACCGCCAGTTTTGCGACCAAATGTAGTCCGAGGTCCCGCTCCCGCTGGTCTCTCCAGCGAGAATACGATGTAAGCTACCTATGTTCACCCAGGCTTGATTTCTTCTTTGATTATTTTTTTGTTTTAGTTCCCTCTTCTTCTCCTCACTTTTCAGTCATTTGGGCTGTTTTGCTGTGTCTGCAGTTACAGCCAGAGGAGGTAGAGCCACTTTCTGCCGCCATGCTGCTGTGTTTACATGCGCTGCAGACGCTAGAGGAGGCGTGGCCTGTTTGCAACAGCACCACCCCTCGTTCTGTGATTGGAAGAGAACTAGTTTCTAATCAGCACTTTTTATGGCCTGAATTCATACACAAGCTAAATCAATGAGTCCACGTTTTCAATTAAATTACGGATTTTAATAC